GAAGTTGACCACATCAGCGCACAAGGAGCGAGCTGTTTTTTTTTTTCAGTGCTTATAGTTTATGCAAATTTGCCATGTGGTTTTAAGTTTCGTTTCTGTAAAAGGTAAACAAATGTGCGCAAAGCTGCATTAAACACATTATTACTCAATGTATATTTGAGTCATCCTCGTGAGAAATAAAATACAAACCTAAATTATTCACCCGCATTCACATTCATAATACACATTTACCAAGACAAGTGTCATCCGTTTGTTTTGCTTAATGCACTTTATAATCCGGTGCAACTCATGTATGAAAACAGATGAGAGAATACAACATTATTGATCTTGCGTCTTATAGTGCAAAAAATACGGTATTTGAGCAAAATTTGCCTTGAAGGTCAAAATAAGATCGCTATGTTCATCTAATTATGAAGCATTTTATTGTCTGGGAATCAGAAAGTGTGTGTTACAATGCTAGTTGTTGCTTGCTTTACTGTGATGGCAAAACTCCTCTTTGAAAGTTGCGAAAAGTGCTTATAAAGTCATCACCTTGAATAATTAGAATACTCAGAATGCATAAGGTAAGTGATGAGTAACTTTGGACCACTGCAAACTGTTTAAAATGAACCAATTCTGGTACAGCACCTTTAATTTGAATCAGTTTTATGTTCTTATACATTGATGCATGTGTTAATGTGTTAATTCAATTACGATCAATCAAGACAAAAAAAAAAAAAAAAACTAGCCTACTCTTTCAGTTGTCACTGCACTTTCTTCACTTTGGAAATTTCTCTTTTGTTTCCGACAGTTCATTTTACAATCACAATTCCTGGTTATATTGGTATAAATCTGGGCTTAGATATGAACCCGGCTAATCAGGGTTAATCTGGTGTCTCCATGGCGACAGAGACACAGCGATTTACAGTGCAGTTTTGTTTTTATTCCGTAGATTTATTTCAGAGGAATGGGGCTTAGCTTAAGTACAGATCTCATTTTATGAAGTACCTCGCTGTGTACTGTGCACCAACAAACAGACAGATGCAGCTAATTCCACCCAAATCAAAGTGACACATAACAAAAAAGAACATTCTATTTGAAGTTGTGTTTTTTCTTTTTTTTTTTCTTTGTCGACTACAATGCAATACCACTCAAGAACAGGGAGCAGTCTTTCTCTTGCAATATCTCCTGAGAGGAAACTAAAAAACTTTACATAAGAATTTATAGATGCTTAAAAATTCATGGTTGTGGAAATATTGGTTATACTAACTTCAATTTGCAGTTTTAATTTATTAAAGCCAACTTCAGCTAGAGGGATTTGCAGTAAAATAATACTGTACATCATGTTAATAACAAATATACTGTATGTTTTAGTTAAATATATGTGTTTTTATTGCGCAAAATCCCTTGAAAAGCCTGCATTCTCACATAAAGAATGGACGCTTCTAGTCTGATTCATCAGCTGGTTTCTACGAAGTCTGACCTCGCGGCAGTAGGATTCGTTCGCTCAACGGTAGGCGGGTACTTTTTTTATTTAACTAATCGCTGCTATTTGGTCGTGACGTAGTAATGCACCGCTAACGAGGATAACTGGTATATAAAGCTTTTCCCAAATCCCGAGGGAAGAAGGGCAATAACGTCTTTCCACTTGATGAAATTCGCCAAACATTCTCTTCGTTCCAGCTTTAAATCCTCGATCTCGGGAATCGCTGACAACACAGAATATATGGCTCTTCACTGATTGGTCGGAACCCGAACTCGCACTTCCAGGGTTTTTGCGATTCCTGACCTAGTCGCTGGAGAGAAATGAAATTGAAGGCACATTTAGGCACTAGATGGCGCCAGCCTGGCTAGGACGCTTCCTCACAGACCTGACCTGTAACATCCTGGTGACAGCACCTGCTTGTCTCCATAGAGATAGATAAGTATAATTATATTATCTTTGCACCGTTTTTCCTTACGACCTCTTGTATATAACTGTGATATACTGTATTTATGTTACTATAGTTCTATTTTTTATTTTACTTGTACATATGCGTTTATATAATTACACCTTATTTGTCTATTGGTATTTTTGCTACTTATTTAGAATTTATTATTTCTCTTAGTTATTATACTATATTGTGATGTTTCCAAATAATTTCCCTTGTGAATCAATAAAGTTTGTCTAAGTCTTAGTCTAATGCCATACAGTGGAACATTCAAAACAAATCAACAAAATCTCTCTCCACAAGAAATGTGAGTATGTTACATCAGAACCTTTGGACTTTGTGTATCTGCAATTGAAACTCTGCAGTTGTCATCAAGGTTCCGTGGGGATTGTAACGCTAACTGAAGGAACTACTCGATCTGAAGCTCTATTACACAAATCTGAGTTGTATTTTAACACAATCTCACCGCAAAGAGTTTAGCTCAACAACTGCGCCAGACAATAGAGGGACAGAGGAGCTCATTCTCCAACAGGCCTCCATACAACTGTACAACAACACACCTTTATGTAACAGATAATAATCCCTACAACTGTACAACAACACACCTTTATGTAACAGATAATAATCCCTACAACTGTACAACAACACAACACAATGTACAGATAATAATCCCTATTATGTAACAGTAACAGATAATAATCCCTACAACTGTACAACAACACACCTTTATGTAACAGATAATAATCCCTACGACTGTACAACAACTCACCCTTATGTAACAGATAATAATCCCTACGACTGTACAACAACACACCTTTATGTAACAGATAATAATCCCTACGACTGTACAACAACTCACCCTTATGTAACAGATAATAATCCCTACGACTGTACAACAACACACCTTTATGTAACAGATAATAATCCCTACGACTGTACAACAACACACCTTTATGTAACAGATAATAATCCCTACGACTGTACAACAACACACCTTTATGTAACAGATAATAATCCCTACGACTGTACAACAACACACCTTTATGTAACAGATAATAATCCCTACGACTGTACAACAACTCACCCTTATGTAACAGATAATAATCCCTACGACTGTACAACAACTCACCCTTATGTAACAGATAATAATCCCTACGACTGTACAACAACTCACCTTATGTAACAGATAATAATCCCTACGACTGTACAACAACTCACCCTTATGTAACAGATAATAATCCCTACGACTGTACAACAGCTCACCCTTATGTAACAGATAACCCTATGTCCTTGTTGCACTGTTTTCCTATGACCTCTTGCACAAAGCTGTGATTTTATATTTTATTACTTATCTTTCTATTTTATTTTTACTTGTACATTTACATTTATATAATTATGTCTTATTTGACACCTGTCTCTTGCTTTCTTTTTTGCTGCTTTAGAATTTATTATTACCATTTATATTTTTGCTCTTTGTTGTTACATTATTTAGTGATGTGTGAGCTGCTGTGTCCAAATAATTACAATTGTGGATCAATAAAGTTTGTCTAAGTCTGAGTTGGAAGTTTTTATGGTCTCTTACACATAAAATCACAGGCACAATCTAAATAGAATGAGCCAAGAATTTTTGAGTCACCTTTTTGTTGAAAATCAAACACCTAAACAGGACCACGAGCACTCATATTGATCACAGGGTTCTGAAAATATGTTGTTATCAATTTTGTATTTTTTCTTGAGTTTCCAGACAATTTTATTTATTTTTTCTTACTTTCCACCATAGAGATACTGTACATGTAGAACTATGGAGTAAGAAAGCTTTCAGTGCATATTTGATAAGTCCGTGCATATTTGGCTGTAGTTGAGCATAAAATAAATATTCGGAAACTCTCGAAAGAGTCCAGTCGTACATAAAATGTGTTCTGTGCATTTTATCCATCAGAATACAAATAGAAAAGTTACGACGTCAAGAATTACAATCACAAAATTAAAATTTACGATTACGCTTTCTTCACTACGAATACGAATTTACAGACGCGACTTTACTGTCAAAAATGCATCATCACTTCACAGGCTTGAAGTAATTTATTGAGCAGAAGAAATATCGATCGAGATGCCGAACTTTTGCGCCACATATGGACTGAACCAGGACTGAATCAGGACTAAAACAGGACTGAACCAGGACTAAACCAGGACTGAACCAGGACTAAACCAGGAAAAACAGGACTGAACCAGGACTGAAACCAGGATAGGACTAAAACAGGACTGAATAAACAGGACTAAAACAGGACTAAACAGGACAGGACTAAAACGGAAAACCAGGACTGAACCAGGACTAAAACAGGACTGAACCAGGACTAAAACAGGACTGAACGGACTGAGGACTAAAACAGGACTGAACAGGACTAAAACAGGACTGAACCAGGACTAAAACAGGACTGAACCAGGACTAAAACAGGACAGGACTGAAGGACTAAGGACTGGAACCAGGACTGACTGGACTAACAACAGGACTAAACAGGACTGAACCAGGACTAAAACAGGACTGAACCAGGACTGAAAAGGACTGGACTAAAACAGGACTGAAAACAGGACTGACTGGACTGAACTAAAGGACTGAACCAGGACTAAAACAGGACTAAAACAGGACTAAAACAGGACTGAAACCAGGACTACTAAACAGGACAGGACTTAAAAACAGGACTAAACTAAACCTAGGACTAAAACAGGACTAAAACTAAAAGGACTAACCAGGACTAAAACAGGACTAAAGGACTAAACAGGACTGAAAAAGGACTAAACCAGGACTAAACCAGGACTACTAAACCAGGACTAAAACCAGGACTAAACCAGGACTGAACCAGGACTGAATCAGGACTAAACCAGGACTAAAACAGGACTGAACTATATTTAGCTGTACTAAATATGCACAAATTTCTATCCTATGCACACAAATATTTCTGAAAGCTTTCGTACTCCATATCGAACACCCCTTACGTTATCTCACTGCAAATGATCAGCACATGACGTGACGTGACACTTAACCCTTCTGCTTTGCGGCTGTATCCACATTACAGCACCAGTGCATCATACCTCGTACTGTGTGATGATGCCGTAGGTCTGCGACGGCTCTCTCCACTTCAGGACGATCTTCTCCTCGTACGCACTGCCCTGAATGGACTCCAGGGGGATGGCACTGGGCACTGGGACACACAGAGAACAAAATACATGACACAATGACACAAATTTATCTGATATGGCCAAGATTTTAAAACTTACATCAGGTTATTCATCTTGTTTTCAGGTTTATTATGTACTTACTAGATCTGAGACTGCTTCATTCTAGTCTAGAGGTAGTTTATTTGAGATAACTAAAATTATCTTGCTGCGTGGACAGATAATTTCACTACTTTTAAGTCATTTATATCTTAAATTTTGGTCAATTATTACAGCAAAAACTTAAAGGTGCATTGCGTAACTTTTCTAGCGGAGAGGGACCGCCGCCAGATTGTCTTCACGGAGACGTTACTGCTTTGTCACGCGGGAGACAACTATAGACTGCATTACAGGTCAGATCTGTGGAGAGGCAACCCGAATCACAGAGCAAATTCTTGTATTTTTGAGCGATAGAAACGCCCGTAATTGACAAATGCTAGATAGATGTGTTTAATGTCACACCGCGGAACTTTACCGGCAAAGCAATAACATCTCCATGGATACAGGCAGGTGACGGACCCCCCCCACTCCCCACCAGAAAAGCTCCACAGTGCACCTTTACCTAGAGCAGGGGTCATCAACCTTAAATCCTCAAAGAGCCATTTGGACCGTCTCCACACTGATTTTTTTTTTTTAAACATGTATGCTATGTCCTAAATATAATGTGTTGCTTTTATGAAATCAATGAAATGCTACAAAGAACACCGAATTTTATTTCTGCATGTAACATAAACATTTTGAACTCTGAACACTTGGCTGATGGTTACTTTTAAATGAAATACTCAATGCTGCTTTGGGTCCTCCTCGTAGAAATAAAAATCCAAACTTAAAGGTCGTATAGAGGATTTTTTTAAGGGAAGAGAACTACAGTGACAGTTATTTTTCAAATGTTCCTCCTCCACAGCTTCCTCAGTAGAAACATCTCCTCCCGCCTCCTTACTCTAGAAATCACACGTTTACAGCCAGTGGGCGTTCGGAATTACAGTCGAAGTGACCGGTCTAGAAACAATTTAGCGACCTTCGTCTACTTGAGTCGCGCCATCGCTGGAAGGGATCTCCAAGAATCACCTCAGTTTGTCTTCGCTCCTTTTCCTCTTTTCTTCTTCGAAAACGGACTTTCTTTTCGCGGCGAACTGGTCGTGGATTCTCGTCCGCCGTCGCGACAAACTTTGTGCGAATTTGTGCGAAGCTACAGTTTAAAAAAGTCTCTAAGAACCGCCGCATAAACCACGTAATCCCAGCGAGTCAGTTACACTAGAAACGTAGGGAGTTTGATTGACGACCTAACAGCCAATAGAAAATGAGGTAGCCTTGTTTTCTATTGGCTGATGTTTATCTGGCCTCACTACGTCCACATTTGATAGATTTTCATTCTTTTTATTTTTTGGTCATCATAATTACAAGGCTGCTGCATCTCTGTAATGTTATTTTAACCTATCATTGACAATCTGAAACAAAACAAAAATCCTCCATACAACCTTTAAATGATCCACTCACACTGAACCAAAAATGCCGTCTGCTTCTGTGTTTTTAAAATGGTTAGTGCAATATTTACGGCGCAATATATCCGTTTTGAAATGTTTAAAGTGTTGATGTGTGTGTTTTGGTGTATTTTTATTGTGTTTTCATGAATTGGTGTGGTTTGTTTTCTACTTGCCTCCATTTTTCTTCTGTCTAGGTCCTAAAAGAGTTCCCCCCGGAAACAAACTCCCTCTTTTAAAGGTTCCGGACTGGACCAAGTGTAACATATTGTACAGGGGTAGTAGGTCACGTGTTTTATCGGTTTGTGGGTTTTAAAGTTTAATTGGTGTACGGTTTTAGGGTTTTTATGTATATAGTTGGGGTTTTAATAGTTATTTGGTTTTGGATTTGTTTTGTGGAGTCACCCTACATCACAATCACACAAGAAAAGCAGATTTCTGGATTTTCTTTTTGATATTCTATCTCTCAATGTTAAAATAAATCAACCATTAAAATTATAGACTGTTAATTGCTTCGTCAGAGGGAAAACCTACAAAATTACTTGAAAACTACCTCTTTGTGACACTACAAGATGGAACAGAGCATTTTGAACTTTGGAGATGTAGACACACTGATAAACCAGGATAACTCAAACATGTGAATGATGAGGTAACAACATTTTAACAAGACTTAAAGCCCACGAGAGCCAATTTTTCGCATTATAAAGACCTTTAACCAATCTAAGTTACTGGCTATTGACATTTCTTTTCCTCCGTGTTAAGCCATCTTCTATATTTTCCAGGACAGCAGACAGGATGCCCCCACAGCTCCTCGCCACAGTCCCACTCACAGCTTTTCATTCATGTGTTACCTCAACAATGGCAAGACACAGGAAATCAACTCAACACAAGTCTCTCCGCTAGAAATAAGAAACCTGGGGCCCTGCATGACGGAAGAGCGCGCTGTCAAGTCTGCTATGCACACATCTTTGGTCCCAGACTTAAAAGCACCAACTATTTCTTCACTCTCCCTTCTGCAGTAGACTCTAGTATCTCGTGGGGGAGTGATGCACAGACAGGAGTTGCCAGCGTGGAGATAAATGCGAAGAAAAAAGGAAAAAAAAAATAGCGTCTCCACAATCATTCGGTTTGAAAGCAATTCGCGAGAGGGGTAAAAAGCTGGCGTTTCTTTAGCAGCGGTGCGCTACAAGAGGGAAGATTAGCATCCCATTATCCCCAGAGGAGGCTGGCGGTAGACTGGAGCATGTATGTTTGCAAGTCTGTCTGTGTAAAACTAAATGTAGGAAAACTTGGATTTGACTGACGGTGAGTTCAAATAAACAAATGTGCGCTGGGTTTATACGCGCGTCGGAAAAAAACGGAGAGCGACTCTGGCTGTGTGCGCGAACAGCAGATAAAAACTAGGGATGAATCCGGGACTAAAGCTGAACTAGATCGGGACTAGATCTAGATCAAATCAAGTCTAGATCAGAACTGTACGGAGCTCAAACCAGGAGCACACAAGGACAGCTGTGGAGAGATGGTATGTAAGGTCATGGTTTCACTTCGAAATACACGCTGAAATTAAATCTTGCTTTTACTGATAACATGATGGCAAAGTTGTTTATGTTGTAATTTGGTGTTTTGTTTCTCATGCAATTATCCAGTCAGAAAGCTCTCATTTGGGTTGCCTTTTTCACAGCTGAAATCCAGTTGGTTTTAAAGAGTCCATCTCATGCAAAATCAACTTTTCAGAGCTTTCTACTTTCTAAGAGTGATGTGTGGGTCTTGTATATGTCGCCGAAGTGGTTTTTAGATTTATTCGGCTTTTTTTTTTTAACAAATTGCAGCGTTTTTCTGCCACCCTCCCACGTGACGACGAACTAATGCCTGCTACAACGATGACGCGGCAGCTACACCTATGACGATTCTGACGTAGCAGAAAGCGCTTCGCACCCGCCCTCGTCCCCCGCTCCACCGCCTCCGCTGCCGATTCCGGGTCCAACACATAAGGCTGAACGCGCTGTTTCGCCACGATGAATAAGTTTATTCCTACTGTCGTGGCAAAAAATTATATGTCTCTTGAAGATAAATAACGAATCCACTTGCAAAGCCCGATGAGTTTTTGGAATATAGATCAAGGTTTATTCTTGTTACAGCAGATATGGACAGGGCCTAGGCACCCACCAGCAGTGTGTTCCTACTACATCTCCCCACCGTATCTCTCAGTATTTATACAGAAATACAAGTTACATACATATCAAAGTGAGAAGGTGACGACTCCTACTGAGGTGTGGCCAGATGTGCTTGTTCTGATTTGCATCCATATTCACTTGCATTTGTCATTTCCTGACATGATTAGCCAGCAAAAGGGAACAGAAGTATTTACATTGAAGGGTCTTTCTAACAAGCCAAATAAGTTTTAGTTACAAGACCAAATGTGTTTCTAAACGATAAACCAATCACTATTTTAATGTAGTCAATCATAATCAGTATTTTCCTGTGGGGGTCTGGTCTCAGGTAGAAATCACATTTATTTACACAAAGACAGATTGAGAGAAATCTTTCCACAATCTAAATTTCTATCACACCTACCACTATCAGACTGCTAAACAGGTTGTGTGGCTGCAGGGCTGTACACTTAAGCCAAAAGGTGCACCCCTCCCTCCCTGAGATGGGCGGAGGAAGGGCGGCTCACTCAGAGCCTACGTCACGTTTGGAGGGCGGAGTCTGTGCTTTCTCAGGACGGACGGGGGGATGAGCAATAGTCGGCCTTTCATAGTTCCTGGTCTGTGACTGTCTCCAAGAAATCAGTAAAATTTCATAACTATTGTGTAATGGATGTTGAAAAACTCAAATTGTGCTTGCATATGTGCAGAAGATACAATGTAAAAAGAGTTATTCTGCATGAGATGGGCCCTTTAACCTAAAATTATCTGAATGGTCACTACCTAAACCCCAGCATCTGCAGGCAAACATGCATCTGCAGCTTAGAGAGGGAATTCTGGAGGTTCTGGAGCTTTCACATGACCCTAAACTGAGAATGAGACAAACTTGTAGGTGTCCCCTGTCTTCAGGTTTAGGCTCTGGCAACCCAGGTTCAGTTGTGACTGAAGTAACTTTTTTATCCTGTATTTGTGTTAATATTCGCACTTTTTAGCACCTGAAATCTCCAGCAGAGGCCAATATTTGATTTGGACCGACCTGATGCATAAATCTATCTATTAATTCAAGAAACGTCTGTCTGTGTCTCTGTTTGTTTGTCTGTTCCACGCATAACTCTTGAAGCGCTCATCCGACTGGTCTCAAATTCAGAGGGTGTCATCCTAATGAGACGGGTCTGTGCAGTGCCAAGTTTCATGTTGTTAGGATAAAAAATGCCAAATCTGGTAAAATGAGTGATATACTGTTATGAATAAAGATTAATTTGAGCAGTGCTGCGTTGCTTTTATTTTAGAGGTGTTGTTAATGATATTTCTTCTAAGGCAACCTCATTTTTTCATTGCTTAGTCATAACAAACTCTTACCAGTCTTACCAGCGTGTCAAAACAATGCTATTTACTGCTTCTTTTTTTTTAAGAAATACAATTAATATTACGCAAAACTGAGTTAAGCATTTCGGCCCGACTCTCCTCACTATTTTCTTTTCTCACATGACCTCTTGGAAAAAATAATTGCCCACCCCAGCCTTAGTACAACGAAATAACTGCACAAAATGTAACTACACAGTCATATTATCCAGACTGTAATAAAACAGCGATGTGGGTAAGTTTGTAGTAAATAAGTTCAGTGAGTTATTTGTAGAGGAACATCAAAATTGTCCCTAGTTATCAGCTCAAAAATATGGGTCTGCATTCTACAATATCGATATTTGTAGCAGTTATAAACAAACAAATAAATAAATATATAAATAAAATCTAAATCAAACCAAATCAAAAAAAAAAAAAAAAAAAAAAAAAAAAAAAAAAAAATCTAAATCAAATAAAACTTATAAATAAATCTATAAATAAAATCAAAATAAAATAAAATAAAAAATAAATAAATAAAATCAAAATAAAATTAAAATAAAAATAAAACTTATAAATATATAAATAAATAAGTAAATACATATAAATAAATAAATAAACAAATAATAATAAGTCGATCTCAATCTCACACTGTTATTTTGTTGAACCTAATGTATCCAAAAGCATATTTAAATATCTCTCCAATCGTTTTAAAGAATATTGTGGAACAGAAAATCCTCTCACCGTCCTCGTCCGTCTGCACCTCCAGCTCCGCGCTCTCCTTCACTCCCTCCGAGTTGCTGAGCACCAGTTTGACGCTCAGGTTGGTGAAGGGCGTCAGGTTGTGGATGGTGTGCTGTGGGTTTCTGCTCTGCGTGTCGTAGCAGATCTCCTCCCTGGCCTCCTCTTTGCCCCCCGCAGGCCTGGAGCGGTACTGCGCCGTCAGGTTGTACGTGTGGCAGCGCGTCACGTTGTATCCCACCGGCTCCCAGCGGATGGTCACCTGCCGGGACTGCACCTCCACCACCTCCAGTTTACGAGGGCCGTGCATGGGCTCTGAGAGAAAGAAGAGGACGAAGAAAATCAACTTTAAGAGATGAAAACCTAGACTGCATAATAAAAGTGGGAACAGGAGGGATTGTGACGTCTGCAATAGCGTTCGGCTGCAACCAAATGAATCTAATCAAGGCTCGCAGTGGTACATGAAGTACTCAGTGTAATTACTTAAGTAAAAGTACACATACAGGGGAATAGATTAATCAAGTAAAAGTATCAAATGGAAACAATAAAAGCACCCAGTGTAGTGATTTTGATAAAGACTTTATTTGATTTTAAGTGATTAGATTGGTTTCTTAAATTTTCTTGCTGTTTTTGTGTATGTGGTTTGCTGAAAGTTGGGACGGAAACTCAAATGAATTAAATGTGGTATTTCAGCAGGTCTCACAAAGTACTTTTTACATTTCAATCAGATTTACAATGTAGTGAAAGTACAAATACATGCTCTTAGATGTAAAAATGTAAAAGCAAAACGTATCCACTGTAAAATGTACTTAGGTAAAGTATAGGTACCTAAAAATTGTACTTAAGAATTCTACTTTTACTTATGTACTTTGTTACATTCCACCTCTTAGTAGTTACATAGGGATAGTAGTTATAGGGGCAAATTTGCAACCAGGAAATCAGAGAGCAAAACCAAAGAGCCAATCAGGAGCGACAGTGCTGAAGCCTAGCAATGTCTAGCTCCATAGAAATGTTATTGCTTTGTCTAATATGCTCCACAGTTTGGCATTAAACCTATGCACCTTGCCTGTCTTCAATGAAGTACTGACAAAATACTTTGGCATGCTTTCGTAAAGAGATTTTATTACTTTGCCTGAAATGTTCCACAGTCTGGCTTTACACATATCTACAGCATTTGTTTAATTTCAGGTGTTTTTATTGCTCAAAAATACCATAATTCTTTAGGTCAACAGGCTTGTCTCTCCTAGCCAGTGACTAGGTCAGGAATCGGAATACACTAGATCAGGAGTCTCCAACCTTTTTCGTCTGGTGAGCTACCCTTATAAAACAAAAATGTCGGAAAGCTACTCATTATAGAACTCGCAAAAAATGGAGTAAATATAAGAGCCATGGGATACAGTTTGATGTCTTTAAAACATTTACACAACTATTATCCATTTATTAGTGCACAAAGACAGGCGTCTCAAATGATTTACATTGGTAATTGGCATTGAATCAAATTAAATTTTAGTTATTCAGTGCAATACATATGATTCCGAAATCCTTTGGTGCGCTACTTGGAATGAGGTAGAGAGCTACTGGTGGCTCCCGAGCTACAGGTTGGAGACCCCTGCACTAGATGGTTTGCAAGAACCCCGGAAGTTGCAGACCGCAGCCAATCAGCAAAGAGATGTGAAGCCATGATGTCAAACTCAAGCGTCTGTCTCTGTCTGTGTCCCTTTTTTGGTACAGCACAACAGTAAACAAAGCGGTCGAGATGAATGTAGATGAAGCCAGACATTCTGTGTTGGTAACAATGCCCAAGATAGAAGATTTAAAGCCGGAACAAAGAGAATGTTTAGTGAATTTTATCAAGGGGAAACACGTTATTGCCCTTCTACCTATGAGATTTGGCTCATTAAATACATCACGAGCAAATAGCAGCGATTGGTTAAATGAAAAAAGTGCCCGCCTTCTGTCGCGCGAACAAATTATAATGCTGTGAGGTCAGACTGTTTCCACAAAGTGAAACCGGCTGACGAATCAGTCTCGTCTCTCCACAGATCTGCCCTGTAACTTGCCCTAGTGCCTTGTCTTCATGGAGATCGATAAGTTTAATGTCATACTGCGGAACATCTCACTAGAAAAGCTGCACACTGCACGTTTAAAATCAGATCTATAAACTAATGCAACAAAAGTGAACATAAGGCGAGATTTCACTTTTCCCACGTTTTAAAAATACACCAGAAAATGGGTTGTGATGGAGCCGATATGAAGCCAATTAGCCTTGTCTCCACTGCTTTTATTACAGCCAATACGACATGTGTATATTTAAACTGATTTGATCCGGAAACCAAACACCGGAGCTTATCAGAGGAATGATCTGATTTTATCTTTTGTGCCTTTAAAGAAGTGAAGTGTGCAGATCCATCCTGAACACCACTTAGAGGGCCCCAAAGCCAGTACAGCCAGGTACTTTCAATAAAACCTCTCAAATGAATAGAACTTATGCCGATACACACACACACACAGAGCCAGACTGAATATTTCTCACCGCACCCCAGAGACGGAGCCCATGTACTTTTACTTCATTTGAACACAATCAAATTTGGGTCGAGTTCAGTCAGTATTTGATGGAGGATAGAAAAGAATTCAAGGCGTCTGGCTGCACAAAACAATTTCCAGAAAAATTCCAAATTACCGTGGAATTTCGATTTGAATTTTTAAAAAGGAATATTTGCATGATTTGTTCGGCGCATGTGATTAGACAATGAATTATTAATTATTTTGTTTATTCATTTTCCAAGTGCTTTTATTTTCTTAGCCAAAGCACAGACTGTCTTTCTGTCTCTACAGGCAATAAATGCAAAAACAAGTCTTTATAGACGAGTGTCAGGAAGGGCATCTGGACTAAAACTGTAAATGAAAAGAACAACCTCAACAAACAATTATCTATAACTATAACTTTTCTAGTGGAGGGTCTGATGGATGATGTTACTGCTTTGCCTCAGATGTTCCACAGTATGGCATTAAACAAATATATCTTGTTTTATTCAATTACAGGTGTTTTTATTTCACAAAACTTCAGTAAAAACACGCATTATAATTGGGAGCAGGTCACCTTCTCCACAGATCTGACCTGTAACTTGGCCTGGTGACGGGGTTTACTTGTCACCTTGGAGATAGTTCAATTAAATGCCATATCCAGGGTTCCCACAGTCATGGAAATCCTGGAAAAGTCATGGAATTTGAGTATCTCTTTCACGCAGCTACAGCATTTTGTGAAGTTCTCATTAGACTATTATGATTATTTCCGAATGTCTGCGCTTTTTGTTTAAAAGCGACGACAATAAAAGCACTTACAGTATTTTTGAAAGTTAAAAAACTATAATCCCAAACCATAAGGTGAGTGGAAAGAGTTAACATTTCATATTTAACTCTAAAAGTATGATTAATTCTACACACGTAGGTGCCGTAAAGCCATGGAAAATTCATTTTAGGTTATGAAAAAGTCATGGAAAAGTTTAGAAATTTTGTCAGTGAAAAACTACACTACTGTAGATCATTTCAGGGGGAAACAAAGCAACAACAGCAGCATGGAGTCAAAGTGATGGACCCTCTACCAGAAAAGTTATACAGTGTACCTTTAAGTCGAAAAAAAAAAAAACTATTTCAACTAGTCATAAAATAAAATAATAATGCATTAAAACTAATTTTGTGAAAACTACAGGAGTCAGGATTCAAGACATTATTATTAAATCACATTTCTTTTATTGCGCATTATAGTAACCATATACAACAATCCAACTGTTTTCCAGAGTTCAGTCTGAAATCCTGAAATGAAAAAAAATAAATGGCCAAACTGAAACCAACTGTGTGAAATCTAAACTTTCTAAATTGTTATGCAATATTATACTTTTTTTTTTCTACTATGTTATGGTAAATAGTAAATGGTCACATTTTTCTATAGCGCTTTACAACAAGGAACCACTCACCCATTCACACACACATTCACACACCAGTGTACGCAGACACTAGGGGCAAGGTGGGTTAAGTGTCTTGCCCAAGGACACAACAGCATCATCTGTGGGAGCTGGAATCACACCAGCCAACCTGTGGGTCAGTGGATCTGATGTTTATGTCGAGAGCTGGATTCGAACCGCCAACCTTCAGATCAGTGGGCGAATGCTCTACCAACTGAGCTACTGCCCCCCATGCCCCATGATGAGGGATGTTATCACATCCTTCAAAAAACATGTCATGAGATTACAGACGTCCTCCATGTGTGACACGAGTAATCTGATAATTCAAACCCGCCTTATGGTTTTCAGTATGATCCTATTCAAAAGCTCCGCCCACGAGTCTGCATCACCCAAGCTCCCGCACAGCAGTTTTCCATATAAATACAAACGCAGGATACAAAACAATACGCAACGACTTCACAAACCTGATGTGTTGTGCATGAGCTGGATGCACGACGATTGTGTTGCGATACGGCCTTGAAGGGAAAGTGACTTAACACGAACAGCAAAGGGGAGACTCAATTTGCCAAAAATGAAAACTAATTAAAGAGCTATTTTATTCTTTGTCATCGCAAACAGACCTGGAGTTGTGTTTTGCTTCATTCACACACGTTTAACACACAAACCCTGCATATTTAGGCATAGGTAGTTATTCTCTCAAACTCAAAACACACTTCATTTCAGTCCTGGACTCAGCAAACTCTACTCAACTAAAGGTAAAAAGGAGCTGTTAACTTCAAAACTACTACTTCATGACATCACAAGGTGGAACAGACCATTTTAAACTTTGCAGACGTACACAGACTAAAGATAAGGATTGCTCAAACATGTGTGAATGAATCAAAACACAAATCCAGGTAAGTTTTTGCTGAGGTAACAACATTATAACATGACTTAACACCAGTGTTGGGGAGTAACAGATTACATGTACCGGAGTTATGTAATCAGAGTACAAATTATGAGTAATCGTATTCAGTTACAGTTACTGTTTCAATGAGTGGTACTTGGATTACAGTTACTTTGTTGAAATAAGTGGATTACACAGAGGTATTTTCCTGTTTTTACATTTTGGGCTATATCCAACCTTTTTTTTTTTTTTTTTTTCGTAATTTCCGCTCATTGCCGGACACTAAACCAGGTCTAAACCAGGACTAAACCAGGACTAAACCAGGTCTAAACCAGGTCTAAACCAGGTCTAAACCAGGACTAAAACCAGGTTATAAACCAGGTCTAAACCAGTCTAAACCACCAGGACTAAACCAGGTCTAAACCAGGTCTAAACCAGGTACTAAAACCAGGTTATAAACCAGGTAC